TCAAGGATTTTTTTTTAGCTCCAATGGAATATGATGGCAAAAGAAGACATTGTAAGAATATAAGAACTGGCAGAGGCTGCTGGACCTGATCAGGTACCAGGAATGACAGTGTAAAATGGCAAAGGTGAGTGGTGGTAGTTTCTGGACAGGTCAAACCAGATCAGCCAGTCCAACAGCAGAAGCCATGTTAGGATTTGACTCAGCAAAGTTGAGACAAGTATGAGAGACAGTACTAGGGACAGAAGGAAACAATGATTGAGCCAAAATAGTGGGTAGGATGAGCAGGGACAGGGACAGTCAGATGGCTCTATGTGTCCAGCTTTCCAGCTGTGACCAAATGAAACCAAATGAAAATGTTAAGTCGATTGTGAACCAAGGTCAATTTTCTTTCCAGGGCTTTATTGGTGATACAAGATCATTAAGTGTATCAATAATGCCCATGATTAAGTCATTCTGGAATGAGGACAATTGTGTAACTTATTATAGGTCTGGTTGTGGTCAGCTAATAGTACATGCTAAAGCCAAACCATGGAACTATTTTTTAAAAGCTAAACTAAAATGCAAAATAAGATTTAGGGAATTCTAATTCCTAAACCTCTTGAGGAGATTTACCCAATAGACTAAAATTTCCTTTTCCAGAATAATTTATTTCAGTTAGTCATATTTTTATCATCCACTGGAGGGTAAACTTAATTTCCTCTCAATAACTACCATTGGAATACTAAAACAATCTTTTTCTCTAAACAAAAAACATTGTTTAGAAGATTCTTCATGTGGATGTGTCAAGACTAAAAATTAAACAAGGGTTAAAGTTTCTGGCCAAGAACAAACAGTTGGCAAAGTCACAAATTAGAATTTATAATCCCATTGTGAAGCTGAGTAATGTGTTCCCTGTAAATAAAATTGTGCTGATGAAGAGATACTAGTAGCATTACTGAAAGGAGATATTTAGAATGGCAATGGAGTATAAACACAACCCGGTTGATGAATTTGCTCATTGGACTTTCTTGTTAGGATACTAGTAAGCATTAGTCTTCAAGTTGATTGGTGGTATGGCCAACAGCATTAAGGATTTGTCAAAAGTTTCAGCCACTCCATCCTAGCAATAGAGTCAAGAGTTGGAGTTATTGCTGCTGGAGTTATAACAGCTGCCCCGGAATCATGTCTGAACAGCAAGTTAACTGCTGTTCATAGTAATATCTAGTCTTTCCCAACCCCAAACATAACACAAAAGATTGTTGTCATTCTTGGCATTACGTAGCCAAGACATGCCAGTGAACTCTAAAGGCAGAATGCCCTTCCACCTGTTTTATGCTGTAAGACAGTCTTCCAAGTGTGAGGCGGTGTGAAGGGCTGTTTGCTTGAATGGCATCTGAATGCGCCAGCAGGATTCTTGGCAGCAGGGCCCAGGCACAGAGGCCGGGCATTCACCAGAGCTAAATGGAGAAAAAAAACTTGAGCAAACGGCTTCCTGGAATACTGGGACCCTGAATGGGAAATTAAGAAGGACCAGATTTTCTCTCTTCTTGTTCCAGCCAAGGTCAGATTTGCAAGTTCCTATTGGTTCTTTTTTCAGAAAGTGCTATAGCAATTTCTGAAGGTAATGCAAATTCTCTTTTCTTTTAGAAGCCGTTAAGTATCATTTAGTGCTTTCTGTGCTTGTGTTTTGGAATCCCACCCATTGCCCAGCATTCTTAATAACAAAATTCACTCCCATCGAGTCAATTCCCACTCATTGTGAACCTAAAGGACGGGGTAGAACTGCCCCTGTGGGTTTCCAAGACTGTAACTCTGTAGCAGATTACAAAGCCTTGTCTTGCTCCCACGGAGCAGCTCATGGTTTCAAACTGCTGACCTTGCAGTTAGCAACCCACCATATAACCAACCAGTACACCACAAGGGCTCAAACAAAATCATGATGGACTGGGTCCTCGATAGGAACCCTGTGATTTGTTCTACATCTCAAAGGAACGTTGTTGAGGTGAGAATATTGGACAAGCTAGCTTGTCTGTTCAATATTCTCTTTTGATGGTAAGACTTAATTTCCAAATCTCAACCTGTTGATGGGTCATTTCCATCCTGAGGCCGAGCAGAGCGATCCCATCAAGTATCCTGACAATCATCGTTACAGAAGCCGGTTACCACAGCTTTCTCCCATGGAGTGGCTGGTGAGCGCCAAATGCCAATCCTTCCATTAGCAGCAGAGAGCTTGACCACAGCACCACCAGGGAGCCTTCTGCAGCTAAACTCCAGCCCCTCCCCACCTATCTGGCAGACAGAAACCACATCAGTCAGTGGGTCATCCCTAGATGTGAAAATTTGAAGAAAAGCTACCATAATTGTGCATTAATGACTAGAAAGGAGGGTAAATCGATAGCCAAAGACTAGACAGAGGCTTTTGTTGGCTTTACGCTGCATGCCTGGCACCTCCCAGAACATTCCTTTCAAACCTAGAAAGCCAAAAAGCCTTAGCAGATTGCCCACCATGGTGGAGCTATTCCCAGAAAGCAGTGATAGCAGGAGCAAGGGGACGGGGCTAGATCAAGAGTGGTAATTCTTCTAGCTACTTTCTGTTTCTCACGAAACTTAAAAGTCATTTAAAAGAGAGTCAGAGGGATGGTTTTTAAGGGGGGGGGAGGTGCGTGGGACAACCCAACTCTGGTTTCCTCTTGAGATAAATTGATGATGACGATGATGACGAAGACGATTTGCTTTTAAGAGAACATTTATTAGGTTTTTTAAATTGGGCAAGAAAACAAGATAAGTACACAGACAAATCATCTGGGTGAGGGAGACCATTAGCCCAAAGTCATAACCGTGTCTGGGGGTGTGCTGAGTAACAGAGCTTCAAAGAGGACATGGGAGATCAAAGAAAACTGTCACCAAAACATGGTTGGTGGCAGATCAATACCTCCGAGTCACTAGTGAAACCCCCGAAGCAAGATCCAGGCTATGATCAGGACAAGCACATTATGTTCGACCAGTAGTTCCCAACCGTGGTTCGAGACCCCTTTGGGGGTCGAACTTCCCTTTCACCAGGGTCGCCTAAGACAATCAGAAAACACATACATATGTCACAATATATAATTACAAATTTTTTGTGATTAATCACTGTACTTCAATTATGTTCAATTTGTAGCAATGAAAATATACCCTGCAAATCAGATATTTACATTGATTCATAACAGTAGCAAAATTACAGTTATGAAGTATCAACGAAAATAATGTTATGGTTGGGGGTCACCACCACATGAGGAACTGTATTAAAGGGTCCCGGCATTAGGAAGGTTGAGAACCACTGTGTTAGATGGAGGAATTTACAGTATTAGACCAGGACCTGCCCTGAGTCAGTCAGGGCGTGACTCGGACTGTGAAATCCCAGTACTGTGATCTCCATCAAAGACACACCCAGGTAAGCTCCTAAGGGAGATTGCCCCTCCCTCAGTTGGAGGAAGTGGGGAGTGGAAGTAATCCACTTTCCAATGTACTCTCTCCAGGGGCAAGACTATTCGTGTCTCCAGTCAATGGTCATAGGGGATCCAATGGAGGGATAAGTGCTTTACTATGTAACAACTATACAGGGATCCTAAGGGAGTCCTGGTGACATAATGGCTTATGCACTGGGCTGATAACCACAAGGTCAGCAGTTTGAAACCACCAGCCACTCCACAGGAGAAAGAAGACACTTTCTACTCCCATAAAAAGTTACAGTCTCAGAAACCCACAAGGGCAGTTCTACCCTGTCCCTCAGGGATGCTGTGAGTTAGAATTGGCTCAAGGACAGTGAATATATGTAATATGAATATTACAGGAATTCTCTGGGGGAAATTTTACTCAAAGGAGTTTTCAGTGCTAAAGAAATTAGAAAATAGGTTGGCTCCCCCCCACTTTTCCCAGATTGTTTTCACAAAATATTTACAAAGGTTGTCTAACTTCTCGTTATACTCCACACTGAATTTGGTCAAAAGACTGAAGGTTTAAATTGCTGAGTGGTTGTGGGAAATTCGGAGTGGCTAACTGGTGGCAGGATCATCCTTTGTGTAGGGTCTCACTGTGAATACAAGAGATCCCAGGTACTGGCTTTTCTTGCCAGAACAACAAAGAAGCAGGAAGAATTCAGTAGAAGCAAGTCTTCGTAGGAGCCCTGCTAGCATGTGTTGGGCTGCTAACTGAAAAGGCAGCAGTTCAAAACCAGCAGACGCTCTGTGGAAGAAAGATGAGGCTTTCTTCTCTCGTAAAGAGTTCTAGCCTTGGGAACCCACAGGGGTGTCTTACCCTTCCTATAGGGTCACCATGAGTCAGAATGGACTCAATGGCAGCGAGTGGGGTCTTGCTTGAAATGGACTCTCGTGGTGCCCAACAATAGGTCTTAGTTGAGTCGGTGAACATCCTCGATTTCAGATTATTCTAGAGGTGGCACGCAAGTAGAGGCAGCATGCATATAGACTTCCCCCAAGGAATCCAGAAGGGGAGGCAACAATGTTAATATTTATCAGCTGTTCTCTATTGCCATTCATTTGCCTAGTTGGGCATTCATTCACTCATCAGCTATCTCTCAGGTCTCTAGTCTACGCCAGATTCTGGGGTGTCTAGGAATTCAAAGATGAGTCACATACCTCTGTAGGCACCATCAGGATTGACCCCCAACTGACCAAAGTTTGCCGTAAGAAATTTAATATCTGCAACCTTGAGCTCCTCGCCTTCCTTCGACATGAGGGGTTGCAGCCAGCTTCCCACAGGTCCAGTCCCCGGTTCAGTTGCTCTTAGGTGCCATCCAGTTGGTTCCAACAGAACGGAACCCTGCCCTGTCCTGCTCCACCCTCCCAATGGTTCCCACGCTTGAGCCCATTGTGGCAGCCACGGTGTCCGTCTCCTTGAGGGCCTCCCTCCTTCAGTCTCCGCCCCGCTACTCTACCAAGTCTGATGTCCTTCTCCAAGAACTGGTCTGATAACATCTCCAAAGTACGTAAGACAAAGTCACCCTCCTTGTCCTTCCCCAGATCCTCACAGTCCTCGGGATCTGGACAGCTGGATTTCCCAAGCAACTCCTGCTATCTAACCCCAGACTAGCTGACTCCCTGGTGGAAAGAGAAGAGCAAGAGGGTAAGGGCCCTCCCCTGGGATGTCCACCCACGGTAAGTACGCCCAGCAGAGCTCCTCGGACCATCATGCTTTTCTGCGCTTTCTCCTCTCTGCAGATTCTTGCTTTGTAAAGCTCCCCAGTAAAGCCTGTGAGCTTTGGTGGAATTCATTCCAAACCCTGTTGCCTGACAGGTGGGGAACACTGAAGGAATTGATTCATCGTGTACAAGAACACTCCCCAGCTTCTGTGACACTGCTCTGCACGTTGCTGGAGTCACCTGGTCCAGAACCAAGCCTGTCCTTCAATAAGAACGATTTCACTCGGCCCTGGTGGGAACTGACCGGAGCGGGGGAGTAAGGCAACGCTTCCAGGAGCAGTCAGAGTCTGTGTCAGGAAAGCCCAGGTTTCCTTCTCCAGTAGCTTCTCCATGGCGATACCTACCTCCAGCCCTCCGCAAGCACTAATTGTGTGTGGGAAACAGAAGGATTTCTTCCAAGTTGTCTCCCCCAAATATATGCCTAACTTAGCTGCTGGCTACACGTGGTTAATGACTACACTTGGAGGTCAACAGAAGGAACTCAGAGGTTATTCTCCCTAAGGCTTATCAGCCATCAAGAGAAATCAGACTGTATCTGTCTGTCCCACTCCCTTCTGATAAAGATAGTAGTTGACTGTTTCCTCGTAGGAGAACCCAGAGAGGTCAAGCCCACTCAAGGGTAACCAAGGTTAAGCTGCCATATTGAGTCTAGGGTCTGCCCTTGTCACATGCATACCCCTAGTCTCTCCCCTTCCTATCATGTGTACACCCCTAGCTCATTCCCTTTCTGTTATGCTTATGCCCATTGTATATCCTCCTCCTATTGCTCATGTTGCCTATTGTACAACCCCTTCTTGTGATGTGTGTGGTTACCTGTAATTATGTCCCCCAAAGATATATGCCTTGGTTAGCAATAAAAGACTCACTCCGGTTCTCTCCTGCCCTGTACCACCAAGAGGAGCTGAGGTAAGTACACTACCCTGAAATGTGTCTGACTTCTTTATTTTACTTTCTCCTATTATTTTCTATGACTTTATTATAATCTCTATATATCTTAACCATCAATTGCGCTTACTGAACCCGTGATTAGTTGTGGGGGAGCTGTCCTTTCCCCCACAACTGTATAAATATTTCAGAGTAGCTGGGTGACACAAAAGGAGCCCTGGTGGTACAGGGTGCTCATGTGTTGGGCTGCTAACCCCAAGGTTACCAGTTCAAAACCATCAGTTACCGAGGGAAAAAGAGAGGCTTTTGACTCTAGTAAAGATTTAGTCTTGGCGTCGGACGGTGTAAGATATGACAAAATAATTTATAAATGATCAAGGGTTCATGAAGGAAGGGGGCATGGGGAGGGAGGGAGGGGGAAAATGAGCTGATACCAAGGGCTCGGATAGAAAGCAAATGTTCTGAGAATGAAGAGGGCAACAAATGTACAAATGTGCTTGACACACAATGGATGTACGTATGGATTGTGATAAGAGTTGTATGAGCCCCCCAATAAAATGATTTAATAAAAAAATAATAAAAGATTAAGTCACCCCCTTGCAGAGGGGTCTCGGGCAGGAGACAAGTCAGTCAGGGAGCAATGTAGCAACGATGAAAAATACAACTTTCCTCTAGTTCCTAAATGTTTCCTCCCCACCACTATCAAGACACAAATTCTACCATACAAATCCGGCTAGACCAGAGGATGTACACTGGTACAGGTAGGAACTGGAAATCCAGGGAATCCAGGGCGGATGATCCCTGCGGGACCAGTGGTGTGAGTGGCAATACTGGGAGGGTAGAGGGAGAGTGGGTAGGAAAGAGGGAACCGATTACAAGGAACTATATGTGACCTCCTCCCTGGGGGATGGACAACCGAAAAGTGGGTGAAGGGAGACGTCGGACAGGGCAAGATATGACAAAATAACAATTTATAAATTACCAAGAGCTCATAAGGGAGCGGGGAGGGAGGGGGAAAATGAGGACCTGATGCTGGGGGCTTAAGTGGGGAGGAAATGTTTTGAGAATGATGAGGGCAATGAATGTACAAATGCACTTTACACAATTGATGTATGTATGGATTATGATAAGAGTTGTATGAGCCCCTAATAAAATGATTAAAATAAATAAAAAAGATTAAGTCTCAGAAACCACAGGGGCAGTTCTTCCCTATCCTGTAGAGTCCTGTAGTCAGAGCTGACTGGAAAGCAGTGATATCTTTTTTTCAATTTCAAGATGAAACAGCGGTTAAACAGTCACTAGCTAACCGAAGGGTTGAAGGTTTGAGTGCAGCCAGAAGTACCTCCAAAGAAAGGCCTGGTGATCTGATTCTGAAAAATCAGCCACTGAAAATCCTATAAAGTTCAATTCTACTCTGACATACATGAGATCACCGTGAGTTAGAGTTAATTGACAGCAACTGGTTAGCTAGTTGTTTGCTTTCCTTTAATTTTATTTGTTTATTCACTTAATCAGTTGTTTTAAGACACAGAATGGATTAGCAGATGCTTTGAAAAAGTATAAAGCCTATCCAAATAGCAAATAGTATAGTCAACAGCTCTATATCTAGGCTGCAGTGATGAAATTGCACAGTGATGAAATTGCACACAGAGGAGCCCTGATGGTGCAGGGTGTTCCTTGTTGGGCTCTTCATTGCAATATCAGCAATTCTAAACCACCAGCTGCTCCTTGGGAGGAAGGCAAGACTACCTACACCCTTAAAGAGTTACAGACTGGAATACCACAGAGCAGTTCGACCTGTCCAATAGGGTCACTATGAGTCAGAATCAAGTCAGTGGCATTGAGTTTTGGATAATTACACACACACACACACACACACACACACGAGTACATCTGAAACCAGTGACATCCACTATCAGTGGATTGTATCAATACCCACTTATTAGATGTAATTGTACTATAATTTCACAAGATGTTTCTTTGGGACATAATTGGAGGAAGAGTTCATGGGATGCTGCTCTATTAATGCATGTGAATCCATGATTATCTTAAAATAAACATTTTAATTAAAAATAAATAAACAAATCCCAACATGAACTTCATAACCTTTCCAGAGATTTCAACAAAAACTCACCACAGCCATCACTCGGATTCTTTGCCTTCCATGTTAATAGATGCAGGCAGGTAGATCAGGAGGCCTTCTGGCTCAAATTTTCATAAGCAATTCGAAAACTTGATGTGGAATGAAAAGTCTCAAAGACACAAAGATAGTTGTCCTAGGGTTGGTTGATTCTACAGCTCATAGTCATTGTTGTAGCTGCATAATCTGTTGTCAGTTTGAGACTTAAGAGTAAAGGGATGGAGTTTAGCCTGTCAATCAGGTCGCAATTTGATGACCTCATTTGAAGACACTAAGGAGATAAATAGCTCACTGGAGGCAGGACACAGGATCACTCCCTGTGAGACTGACAGTCTTCAACAAGGGCCCACATTCTTTCTACCTGGCTATCCCTGGCACAAAGGAGCCCTGCGGGCATAGTGGCTACGTGTGAGCTGCTAACTTCAGGGTCAGCACTCTGAAGCCACCACATGAAGCTTTCTACTCCCACGTTCTCAGAAACCCACAGAGGCAGGTCTACCCTATCCTACAGGGTCTCTATGAGCTGGCATTGACTCAAGGCAGAGGGTTTGGTTTGATTTTATGGATTCTCCCTAATGATCATCATCATCATCATAATAAATGGCTGCCACATGCCATGTTTTGCACCTCCTGATGCAAAAATTCTCTTTTCAAAAATCTTATTTTAAGAACATTTTCAGGTTTTCCTGCTGTTCATTTTCCTCCACTTTCAGAGCCGTGTCAAGTCACAAGCCCTTCCCTAAAATGATCGCCGCACAGGAGAAAGGTATTGCTGTTAGCTCCTTGTGGGTGAGGTGTGATTACATCTGAGAAAAAGGAGGGCCCTGCCAACGCATACCAGGAGGGACTGGGTGGTGGGCAGGCAACACACGGTCACAGAGCCAAGGTAATACAGGATGAGAAGTGTCTTGGAAGGTTCCAGGTATGGCTTTCAACAACAGTTCTCAAGGTTTCCCAGAGCTTGGAGGCCAGCTCAGGAAGTGATGAAGAGTGAGTAGGTGTCCAGAGCACTGGAAACAAGGGGATGGCCCTGATTTCACACCATGGACAACAATGGCTCCAACTTCCCAAACAAGTCTGGGGAGCCCAGAACTAGGTGGAGAGCAAGGGAGAGAGGCCCTCACAGCCTAAAGCCAGACAGACCTTCCTACAGGGAGCTACAGTGCTGCCTTTGTTGTAAAGGACCCTGTCCGCGCTGCCAAGATGAGCCAACTTTCCATTTTATTTTTGCATGAGAGTTGAGTTAAAGTCAAATAAGTTATTTTTCTTTTTAATGGAAAACTTTTAAAAGAGAGGAAATGCAACACGTGAACTTTTTTTTTT